TTAGGGTCTGGTGGGAAAGATTTCCACTTACTGAGTGGAGGAGGTACTAACCTCTCATCCAGGGAGGAGTGGGAATCATAAAAGCCGGAATCACATTGGCTGTAAGACTGTGCTGGGGCTAGATGTTCTGATCTAAGCCTAAACAGTTCTTCTTTATATGAGCAGAGGTCTAACTCTGCTGAATGCAAATCATCTAAATAGCGCGTGGCTTTCTTGTTAGCCATCTGTGCTTCATGGAGGAGGGAAGCATTTTGCGCTCTTAGGCTTTTTACCTCCTTTTCTAAGGCTGCTTTGCTCTGAAAGGCAAGGGTGGTTTGCCTGTGAAAGATCAGAAGCAAGCATTTTAACAATGAACCACTGAATGCAGTCTGCGCATCACAGTTATCACTGAGTAGAGAGTTTATCTCTTCAATGCATTCCCCGAGACTCAATCTGCTGATGAGTTCTGGACAGCCAGAGTTTAGGCTCTGTGCGATGGAATAGATAAACTGTTCTAAACAGGGGTTTGCCATTGTTAGGTCTTAAAAGAGGGTAAGGTTAAAACAGGCTGTCTTAGTACAAGTCAAATGTTAAATTGGCTGTGGTGTTGCTTGGCAGACACCTTTGAGTGTAACTTGTGAGTACACAAGGCTAACAAAAGAATGTACTGTTCTTCCAACACCAACAAACACAAAAGCAAAACAAAAGCGACAATTTCGGACAAACAAAAAAAACCTGACTGAGTTTGCAAAGGCCTTCATTTTGAACGCTAGAGTATTTTGTGTTGACTCGCTTAACATGTGCAAATAACTTGCGTCATACATGCCTGAAATCGTTGGATCAATGAATGAACTTCGGCCTGTAAGTCCTTGGCATTGTACGTCCCTGAAGGATCTCAAAGCTGATTGGCTAAGGCAGCACAAATTGGTCGCTGAGGTTCGCATTTTTCAACTCTCGCAAATGAGTGTATGAAACAGAATCGCACTAATTGTTTCAGTCGCATCACTTTATTCACAAACTTTGCGTCACTCACTTCGTGTCCATCGCGCTGCCCGGCAGGAGTTTGTGTTTAACTGCATTATTACATCGACTTTACAGATAATTACTCGCACAAACTGTTTTATGCATGGTGTGAACACAACACCACCAGTGTGATCAGTGTGACCAGTGTGAGCATTCTGAGGTCCACAGACAGGAAACATGAAGTTTCAGCTCATGTGTTCATTTTCAGATGAACTCTAATCTCAGTCACTGAACCTCAGAGCTGCTGCAGACAGTCCAACAGATAACAGCACACACATACACACACACACACTGAGCAGGGTTATTTTTAGACACTGAGTGCTGAGAATTCTGGGTAGAGTGGGAGGAGGAGGTGGGAGGACCGGTTCGGTGTCAGGCGGAGACATTTGTCTGCTCTCCAGTGAACCTTTAACACTCGCTGACATGTTCGCTCTCGTGGCCTTTGAATGTCAAAGAAACAAAAAAAAACTGTCCTGATGAGTTTATTGGTCTCAGGCGATGATGATGTCATCATGTCAATCATTCACCATCATCACGTCTGTCCGTCTGTCTCTGTTTGGTTTTCAAGGCCGGACGGTTGAGCTGCACATTCAGCTGATAATAAACCGCTTATCAATCAAAGTAATCAAAAGGTCTTATCTGACACACACACACACACACACTGTGTTCAGGGCCGTGACGTAAAATGTTTCAGAGGAAAAACCCTCAAACTTTTTATTATTCATCATCTGCATCATTTTATTTAGTTCATCGTTTTTTTTGTTTCTGTATCGACGTGTGAAATGAACAAACTTGTTTCCTGAACACGTTGCTTCAACAAGGCTCCGTCCAGACACGGTCACCTTTTGTGATCATGGTAGGACTAACTGGACCCTGGGAGGAGCAACAACGAAGCTCAAGAGCAAAAACACAACATGCACCAGGAGCTGATGGAGCAGTGAGGGGGAGGGGCTGAACACCCGCTGTGACCTCATCGAGATGGGATGTCGGGGCTTTGTGAGCTGGTCACTCTGCAGAGTCATCACCACACTGGGGACAGTGGGGCTGGCTCAGAGGAGTCCCATCACATCTATCATCAAGGCCACAGAGAGGAGGGAGGCCCTGTGGTCACCTGCTGCTGGGACGCAAGCCGGGGTGGCCATCGCCTTGGTTGCCTGGGTGATGGCGTCTGATGTCTGAAATGACCTGAAACACCTGATGACCCAGGGACACATCACTGATGATGCAGCTCAGCTCATCCACAGGATGTGCTCTGTCAGGAAATTCAGTTTTATTTATGGTTTTGGTTTTGATAAGTTTTTGCCCACACTGTCAGTCTTGATCTGCTGTAAGACACACTGTGTGAACTTCTCTTGCACTCAGATGATGTGTATCTTTGCCTTGTTAACCCTTGATGGGGATGTGTGTCGTACTGTGCTGCTGAGTACCAGCCAACCTGCTCCTGCCGGCCTGAAGCAGATTTTATTTGTGGAAATACTTTTGTAATGAATACAATCTTCTATTTTTCATATAACGCTGTCTCTGAGGTGTATTTACCCAAACTGTGCCACAGTATTTTAAGGCTCCGTCTTGTACCAAAGACCAAAACATAAGATTCAGTTTTCCTGAGCTGCAGTTCATCAGTTAAGAGTCAGACTTCTAAGTATTGAAATCTGACTGAGAGGCAGTTTGGATTTGTAGTCAGTGAGGTTTAGAGGTATAAGTGACAGTATCATCTGCGTGGAGCTTAAAGTTCAGACACAGTGAGACATCGGCATCCAGAACACCAGACACACACACACACACACACACACACACCATCGGTACATCGATGTGGTCACTGCAGACAGGAGCTGCTCACACATCACACAGCATTATGGGAAATGTAGTAGGCTGACCAAACGTCCTCTTTTGCCCGGACATGTCCACTTTTCACATCCCGTCCGGGGCATCCGGGGGGTGTTTATAAACTGATGATAATGTCCGGTTTTCCGTGTGTGTGTGTGTGTGTGTGTGTGTTAGAGTGCGGCACGGGCCACATATTTCTGTCCGAAACCGAACCGAGCCCGACATTATTTCAATCAATCAATCAAACTTTATTTATATAGCGCCTTTCATACATCAAAAATGCAACCCCAAAGCGTGCTATTTAATGACTAAAGCACTGAGTTTGTGTCACACAGTGGTTACAGGCTATTTAACAGGCCGGGCGTGCGCCGTGGGTGCTCAGCGGAGAGGGAGACCTCCGTGTTTGAGACGGGAGCGGCCGGCGGGAGGTCCGAGGCTTCCAGCGAGAGGAGAGGGAGAAATATAACAAAATAAGATAAAATAGGAAAAACCTGTCTCCCTCTTTTATTTTATTTTCAGCGTTTAATCAAGGCGGAGGCGGGCGGCTGGAGGTCCGAGACTTCCAGCGAGGAGAGAGGTAGAAACAAACAGCCAATGTGTATCTGTGTGTGTGTTATGTTCAGGTGTTGTCACGTAAATAACAGTGCCCAAGCAATAAACAGGACAGACAATAGGATTTTATTTATTTTTACACTACATTTTCACTGAAAGCTGACCGAATCCGACCCGAACCCGAATACAATTTATACATTTTTGACAGAACCTGGCCCGACACGTCGGGTAGGTCTACCGTCGGGACCTGTCGGGCTCAGATCGCCACACTCTAGTGTGTGTATGTGTCCCCTATCTATAGGGGCCTATCTGAATTTCTGTCTTTGAGAGATATTATTTTGTAATATAACTGAATTTTCTATCCATACGTTTAACTTTAAATATATTAAAATGATAAGGCATCTTTGAGTAAACTGCGAGTATCATTTAAGTAGGCTATGTCGTGGCCGGCTGAGTGTCCTCTTTTTTGGAAATCAAAATATGGTCACCCTAAAATGTAGGATCATCTCCAACAGCATCCTTCAGGATGAGCTGTCATAACTTCAGTGATCCTTCATCCTGCTCATCATCAGGCCGATGGGACTCATTCACTCGTTCATTCACTACGTTTACATCTGATCAGCTGTCACATTAAATAACGAGCTGGACGTGAACCACAGTGACCTGTCCTCAGGTTTCTGAGGGCCGGTGTCGACACAGTGTTTTTAACACCTGTTTTCAAGAATCAAGATTCAAGATTAACTTTATTGTCCCACCAAGTGAGAAATCAATATTTCATTCATCAGTTTATTTCACTGATGATCAGCCTGCAGAGAGAAAATCATCTTTATTCCTCTCAAATATTCTGTCTTGGACCCTCTGTTGTTTTCACGTAAAGCTTTGTGTTAAAGTTGTTCTTTGTCCCATAAATAATAAAGTCAGATATTATACAACTGTTATATCATCATCATGTGACTGGTCCAGGAAGTAAACTGTCACTGGTGATGTCAGCAGGAAGCAACAACACTGTGACATCACACCAGATAAACCAGTGAAACAGGGGAAACACTATCATCACACACACACACACACACACAACACTGATCAGAGATCAGCGCTCTGCCTGCAGAGACACTGAGCGTGCTTGTTAATGAAACATGATGCCATCAGAGTCAGGACCTGAGGAGACCTGTCACACTGACGAAGGACTGATAAGAACCTTTAAGACAGTTTTCAGGTGGAGATAAAAGAATTAACATTTTATTTCAGTGTGTTGAAACTTGTTAAACTCAGTGACAGAACCTGTGAGTGACTCTTGACGGCTCGGGAATTAAAATCAGTGTCACCTTGAAATGAGAGCGTGTGTGTACATGTGCTGAAGGTGGAACAAGCAAGGCGAGTATTATAAAAGTTGTCATGAATGTTGAAATGATCTCCAGAGACCAAACTGGCTGTAAACATGTTGATTTCTACATGTGAACATGGAGCTCTGTGGGGACCGACTCTAGTGGCCATCAGAGGAACTGCAGGTGTTAGCTTGATGAAGCTCGTTAAAAACTAACCCTGACATAAATGTGAGTTTCATGTGGTGCTGTTTTCTGTTCTGTGACTTGAACATAAATAAAGACAAAACACACAGATGAACTTTTATACTCAATTTTAATTTACAATGCACGTTAGCCCAGATTCCTCTGATATAAAAAAGCTGAGTGACGACAGAAATGCTGCCCAGCAACATTCAGACCAAAGCAGAACAAACATCCCGACACACCACCTTATTTTATCTGTTTCCTTATTGACTCACTCTGAGTGCAGTAATAACTCATGCAAAGACTTTACTCTCTACAAACATGCTGCGGTCGCAAATAAATGTGTAGAAAAACCAACGATAGAAAAGTGAAAAAGATGAAGGCTGTGCTGCGCGGCGGCTCAGCCAGCCAGCAGAGAACGTTCCCACAACGTTACCTCACGTTAAGTTCATATATCAGCTGGTTTAACATTTATCTGATGTTTGAAATATGAACATCAGCCTGATGAAGACACACCTGTCAGACAGACTAATGTTTAAATTCATATTTAACACAAACATGACAGAACATCGACACAAAGCAAAATCCTATCAACATTTGTCTCTGTGAAAACAGTCAAACAGAAATCCTGGATTTCAGGAACATTGAGAGATAAATGACAGAAACTGTGAAACATGAATTTACAGTTCAGGCTGTAAGAGTACATCTAACTGTAAAAATGATTTCATGTTGATGTATCACAGCCCGACTTCACACATCATTTTAAGAGACTTTTAAAATAGGGGCAAATGATGACAACGTTGGTGGAACATTTGTGGAACGCTGTGGGAACGTTGGGCTGAGCAGCTCAGGTGCAGCAGGACTCTGACAGACAACATTCCTGCAGGGAGGTGAAGCTCCTGACAGACAAACCCTGTGGTAAAACACTCCACACCCACACAAAGCTCATGTAATTATAAAGTGTGACAGCAACACGCCGCAGCCCCGCCCCTCTCTGTGGTGTATTGGCGGGGTAGGGGCAGCCGCGGCGGCGGTGGCGTGGGCAGGGGGACCTGTCCAGATCTGCTCAGACCTCAGGAACGACCCAGCCTCGTTTCAAACTGGATTTAATTAAAGCTGCGGCTCCCCTGACGTGTCTGATACATGTGAGGCGTCTGGATCCACCCAGCAACACACACACACAAACACACACACAGCTGTCTGGGCGCACCGCCAGGTGGAGGTGAGGGGTGGAGGGCCACATCTCCACAGTTAAAATCATTTGAACACAACCTGGGTCTGACCGTGTCACTGTGTCCAGTCTGACCAGAAACAGCTGATGTCATTAATCACAGGACAGAAAGGTGATCAATACCTGATCAATACTCACTTCTGCAGTTTAAATGGGTTATTTTTGACACTTTTATAATGAATTGTTTTCTTCAGAGCTGTTTAAAAGTTTGAATAAAAATTCAATCAAACAACACGAAGCCAACTGGAGCTGAAACAACAAATTAATTGATCAGTTGATCAGAAGAGAATTTATCAGCAGCTAATCTGATGCTTAAATCTGAGAGTTCAGACCAATAATCAGTGTGAGGAATCACTGCAGAGGGTTCAGACATGTTGTTTTTTCTTCATTAAAAGGCTAAAACATTCATCATTATAACTGATTGATTGATCAGTAATAACTGATCGTTGCGGCACTGCTTTGACCTCAGAGTCACGCTGTGAGGTGAGGACACACACGAGCTTTGCAAACAGACACAACTGAGAGAACCAGTTGATCTGGACCACGACACCAGGATCAAAACAGAGCTGCTGCGTCTCTGCCAAAACTCCACCTGTGTGACATGTTGACAGAGCATCAGTCACACCTGCAGCCTGACTTCACCTGACACACCTGGTTCATCAGAGGTCACACTCAGTCTGTTTCCATGACGACAGAGGAAGTGGATTTATATAAATCCCTGTAAACATGTCAGTGTGAGTGAAATGGTCCTGCAGTGAATGTGTCACAGTGGGACTAACACACCCAGATCATGTGACTCCTGCATGTATACAGTCAATCAGACCCAAACTGGCCGAGGCGCTCTGAGCATGCTCCACAGTTTCCGCCCCGGGCTTTGACCCGGAAGTCCAATAGCATTAAATGTGTAAGAGAAGAAGAAGCCGGTAACAACATAAACCCCATCAGTTAACGACACACCTTGGAGCAGGTAGACTTGTTGTCATGGAGACGCTGAGTGAAACTAAACCAAGCCAGGGCGTGAGTGTGATTAAAGATCACCAGACTCCATCACTAACAGAAACTACAGAGCTGTGTGTTTTATAAACTCGTATTTCCTCGACCTCAGCGGACTCCTGAGCTCTGCTGTTACTGACAGGTGAGTTCACCTGCACATCCATCAGCCACAACATGACAGGGCGACCCAGGTTGTTTGCTCCCTGCAGGAAACACTCCACTGACACAAACTGTGAACAAAACCTCCTGCTGAGGGACACTTCTGTTTCTCATTAGTTTAGTAAACAATCAGACACTCGGCAGAGTGAAGCTCTATAAATACAGACTGTTGAAACAATCCAGGCTGAAACTGACAGATCGGAGCTGGAAGAACCAGAAACGTCTTGAAAACATCGACATGTAGTGAACAAACCTTAAAAACTCTCAGACGACTCTGTTAAGTAGACATTTCTCAAAAAGAAGAAAATACACATCCTAAAAAAGGGAATTCAACAATTTACATCTTCGTCCTGCGGCGGCGGTGCCGGAGAGTGAGTCAAACATCCAGCCGCCGCATTTAAAGGAGCCGACAGGAAGTGTGTGTTAGGTTCCTACTGACGTCCAGTCTCTGTCTCAGAGTGAATCCTGATTGGACGACGTCTCAGTTCGTAGGAGCTCACGTCTCTGCACATTCCACCCATCAATCAATCAATCAATCAATCAATCAATCGATCAATAACATGTGACTGTTGCGTCCCTTTGGCCTCTCATATGATGCCAGAGTTGTTCAGAGACTTTCCCAAAGTCACAGTCTGACTTTTACATTTCCACCTGATGTTAAAAACTGGGACGATTTTCACTTTAAATCTTTTTGGTCCAAATTTGACTGAAGCCAAAAAATTCTATTGACAGAACTAAAAAACTTCTGTGATGCTGGGAAATAAAAATCTAAACCTTTAAACTCTTCCAGGAGGATTGTGGGAAACATTCTGACGGGCGCAGGGTTGAAGAACAGATTAAATATGAAAGAAAAAAGAAAAGAAAAGCAGGAAGTAGAAGAAGAAGAAGTGAGGCCACGTTTCCAAAGTGACAGAAGTCTCCAGAAAAGCTGTAGCGGGCAAACGCTCCTGTAATCAAACGTCCCTGTGGCTCCGCCCCCCTCACTGCCCGTTGGTGGGGGTGTTGTTGGGGGCGGGGCTGGAGCCCTCTGCGCCAGCGGGCGGCTGGACGTTGTCAGCCAGGTTGTGAGCATGCTCCAGGAAGAGGTCTTTGAGCACGCTCAGCTCTTTGCTCAGCAGTTTGATTTTGGCCTCCAGCCGCTCGTTCTCCTCCTTCAGCTCGTTGACGCGCTGCTGCGTGTCCATCGCTTTCTGCTTGCTGCGCATGCGGCTCTTCTTCACCGCCAGGTTGTTGCGCTCGCGGCGCTGGCGGTACTCGTCGCTGTCCTTGTCTGCGGGGGGTTTCTTCATCTTGCTGGGGGGGAGGGCCTTACCGCCTCCGGCTGAAGGGCCTGCTGGGACGAGCTGGGGGACCTGCTGCGCTCGGGCTACTGCCGAGGAGGAAGCGGTGGCGTGGGCCTGACTCTGGATGACGCTCACGCCGTTGTGGTCAGATGTGGTTAGTTTTGCCTGCGACGGCCGGCTCATTTGGATGTGCTGCCTTCAGGTGCTGATCTCTGAGTCTCCTCAGGTGTACCAATGAATCGGTGACAGGAAGCAGAAGATTCTTTGCCTCAACGGAGCCTGGAGGAGGACGACAGCGTTAATATCACCTGTAGTGACCTTCCATAAACCAACAACTGTTTTCATTATTGATTAGTCGTGTGATTTCACTGATAAATCAATAGTCTGGTCTGTAACATGTAAGAAAACAGTGAAGAACATCAGGTTCCAATAAACTGTCTCTTCTGCTGCACAGAGACTAAAGATTTAAACTCCTGACTTTATGATAAATTACAAAACTCATGAAAAATATCAACGTTATTGTAAATACAAAATGACATCAAGTCGCATATTTTTGGATGAAAATAACTGTTTTATGTTGTGGAAAATTATTTAGTCTGTAAAATGTCAGAAAACAGTGAAATTCAACTCCATCTCTTTTCTGCCATTTTTATTTGTTCAGTACTTTTTCCTTTTGTTTTTCTCTCACACGATAAAAAACACAAATCTTGTAAGAATTATGAAAATCATCAAATATAACTGAATAAATCCATCACAGTTTTTGAGAGTCGACCTCTTCAAAGTGCTCGTTTTGAGTTTAAAGCTCACAGATATTCAGTTTCGTCACAGCTGACGATCTGAAACTAAAACTCTCAATCAGCTAATCGATTAACGAACTGATGAGAAACTAATCAGCAATTGACTGTGTGAAAATTAAACGACAGCGTGTCTCCTCCAGCTTCCTGCTCTCTCCAGTGAAGGAGCCCAATAAGATGCTATATTTGTACATGTGCAGTCCGCCTGCAGAGTCTCAGCTGACCTCAATCCATCAGTCAGGAGGCTTCATCTCCGCCGCCGCTGCCGCTGATCACTGACACCCACCTCGCCACGGCAACAATTAATCACCACGAGTAAACTAATTATAGATATAAACAACGACGTTCTGACGAGTTAGAATTTTCAACTAGCTGCAACTCCAATTTAAGATATGTACAATTCATTTCCCACGAGTAGACATCTTTAACTTAAATACAGCTGGTCAACATTTACCACTGACTTCTATTCAAACTCAATTACAGATATCTTGAACGGGTTGTGACTTCAACGTGACGTGTCCATTAAGTCATTTTTACTAGTTGTAGTTGTCAGTAATGACGCCTACAGCTCAGGTCTTATGTCACTGCAGTCTCTACAACTGTTCTTCCATCACAGATTAATCATTAATGGTGTTCTTGAAATTTAAAATTTGGTTCTGACTAGTCAAAATTAAAACATTGATATGTCGGCTGATCTCATCACTAGTAACAATGTAATTTCAAATAGATGAAATATGACTGAGTGCTGGAAATTAAACCTGCGGGCCTACTGGCAGACGTTCTGTCTGAATTTAATTTTAGAAATCAGGTCATTTCCATTAGTCACAAATGTTATTGTGAATATTTTCAATGATGTACGTTTATATCTAAAATGGTCGGTTGTCTGACATGTCCAAAATGTTATTGCTGATTTCTGATCTGGGAAATTACATTTCCACCAGGGTTACAACAGTTTGACATTTTCACAGTGTGATGACTGTCTCAGAGAATATTGTGGTTTCACAGTACAACAGACTTTATATTATTATGAGTCAGAATGATCGTTATGGGAATGAAACAGAAGAGTTATTATTGAACAAACATTTTACTACTACAACTGAAACTTGAAACCATTTTTTTATGAACGTTTGTGTAAAAATTCTCCCTTTTAAAAAAACCCCTGAAACATAGTTGAAATACTCACAACAGTTGATTTCTTTTTTTATATTGCAGACAAGCAAACACACGGTGTGAGAACAATCGACTTCTATATCACAGTGAACCTTAAGGCTGATGTATCCCTACAACCCTCATCTCCACTTGTCACAATCCTTTTTCAATGTTTGGAAACTGAGTCGTAGATATCTGTAATGGTTGTTCTCATCCCTGATATCTAATTAAAGATCTGGTCATCAGTTCTGAGTGGTTGAAAAGTCATTTTTATGTTTCTACACTGTCAAATTCTTTTAAAGATATTTTAAATTCACATTTTAATGACATTTGACACTACAAAGTCTCTTTTCCACAAGTAAAAACTAGAGCTGCAACAATTAATCAATTAGTTGTCATCTATTAAATTAATCGCCAACTGAACTCAAAATCAATTACTTGGTTTGAGTCATTTTTTTAGGAAAAAGAGAGAGTGAAAGAGACGTCTCCTCCGCTGGATTTGGAATTCAAGAACGGAGAAACCATCTTAATGTGAGGGACTGGAGCCTGGTAACAGGTCGGCTCTGGTACTGAGCTTTACGGGTTTTAAAAATGGACCCGTGCAGGACTCTGATTCCTCTCACGTGAAACGGCGCAGGGCAATAAGCGTTTGCTCAAATGAGAGCATTCAGATGAACACCACTCTCAACATTCTGACTAGTAACTGTGATTTAATTACACATTCATCTCCCAGTAACTGATTACAATTACGTTTATTTTGTAATTTAGTTACATAACTCCATCACCTGTGACTCGTTATTCCCCAACACTGCGTTTAATGACATTAACAGGGATGCATGAGCATGTCGGCACGTATGTCAGCTTTAAACTGTTAGAATCGGCCTGCTTTCTCTTATTTTGCACAATGAGTGAAGCACATACATTGAAAATAATTGTATTTATAATCTCATGATGAGAGTCTGCCTGTAACATATAGTGTTAATTCATCTACAGCAGAGACCTGACGATCACTGACATTAGGTGGAGAGAAATGTACATATTGATATCAGTATTTGCAAAAGATCCAACACTGTGCATCATCAGACAGTAATAATTTAAAAATTGATGTGCAGATTATTTAGTTTTATCCATCATTTTTCTGACATGTTACAAACCAATCAACTGATCGATTAACTGAGAAAACAATCGATAGTAAAGGTGATCGTTAGCTGCAGCCCTGGTGAGAGCTGCTGCTGCTGAGATGTTTTCCACCTCCACCTCCACCCTGCCATCAGAGAGCAGCACGGAGCATCCGACATGATAACTGGTCGGATTATTATTCCGCACGGTCAATTAGCAGCGCTGCTCTGATTGGTCGGCTGGTTGCCATGCAGCCAGTCAGCTGGGTGCGCAGGGGAAAGCGCTCCGGGTGAAAACCAGCAGAGCTCCGGCTGTTGCCTGCTGTTGCATCATCATCGGCTCTCTTTGTGCCGAGAGAGGGGGAACTCCGGAGTCATGCGGGGATAAGAACCAATCTCAGCTTTTAGCGGACTTTCATAATGTTTGTCGAACATTAAAACGCGACTCACAGCCCGACACGGCGGACACATCCGCTCCGCTCCCCACAAACTCACACAAATCTATATTTCAGAGCACTTTTATCAACTTTTCCTTGAGTGGCTGCGGCCGACAGATGATTCACTGACCTGTAACTCAACACGAACCTTCAACGGTCTGAAAACAGGCGATGGTTTGAGTCTAATTTCGCTTTTAACACGAGCGAAACTACATTTTTACTTTGCTCTGACAAGCCCGTACACTGCTCCTTTAGCCGGGCAGCTAGCCAGCTAGTTAGCTCCTGATGCTAACAAACCCCTAAACCTGACCGCTCGCGCTCTTTTTCGGTCCCAATGAGACTTTAAAACACACGTTACCTTCCCGGGCCGGCGGAGGACTCAACCATCCGTCAAAGTAGGAAAAGTTTCCGGAGAAAGAGTGAGTTTAATTCCGTGTGTGAAGCTCGGAGTGTTTTTGTTTGGAACATGGAGAGGAGAGGATTGCGAAATCTCTTTTACCATGTACGGCAATGTCCGCGGTCAGCCAATCAGAGGCGAGTAGGAGGCAGCGAAGCGAGCGCTGGACCAATCATGAGCGAGTGTGCGGCAGAGTGATGCAATGCAGTATGTGATTGACGTCTGGTTCGACCAATAGGAGCGGGCCGTTTGCAGTCGGTTTTGTTTATGTAATATGAGGATGGTCAAATTAGTTCATACACGCATGACTTCATGTCTGAGTGACGTCATGTAATCACACTGAAACTACAGATTAAATACATTATTATATTTACAGCTCTGCTCCTTCTGTTAGTTATACAGACCACCTCTGTGTGTAACTGTAAATGGATCATGTGCAGGACAGAAAGAATAAAGAAATATGATGAAATAAAAAAAATATTATCTTGCAAAATCAGTTAAATTTCAGAGAATGTGTGTCAGCTCTGACACCCGTGTTTATGTTTGTTATTTAGTGTCTGTGTAAGGGGAAAAAGTATGACAAATAAAACAGAATAAAATAAAAATAACAGTGGTATTAAAATAATAATAAAAATGTTCAATACTGCTACTACTGCTTATAATAATAATAACCACTAAATATACTTATGTAACGTATTGAAAATGGTACACATGTACAGAACATAACAAAGCACAGGGAAGAAGGAAAAAGAAAGAAATATAAAAATATTTATAAATGCTAAAAATAATAATAAAATAAATTATTATCTCGCAAAAGCAGTTAAATTTTAAAGAATCTGTTACTCTGGCACCATGTTTAGATGTGTTATTGTGAGTCTGCAATAACAACAAAATTAAAAGTAATGATAATAATTAAATACTTATTAATTTTTTTTTTTTTTTTTACATTATCCTCAAAAAAATAATGAAAATAATAATAACAACAGTATGTATAGTAATAATAATAATACAGTCATTGTAATATGTTTTGGAAAAAAAATAAATCTGCTGAATGGTCATAGTCTGGAAGGAGTGGGGAAAAGAATTTATAGAGACAATATTTATAGTATAACCTCTGTGTAGTAACATGATAATAACTTGCACTCTGTCTTTGTTCTGTACAAAGAATTCACCTTGAAGATACTTTATATTACAGACAAACACGTGAGGTGACGAAAGTCAACAACTTAAAGGACGGTTACAAAATTCACACACGTCACAAACAAGTTGAAACAATAAAACCAATATTTTGATACCTTTAAATTTAAAACAGGGAGCTCCTAGTTTAATTATAGTTGAGAGTAAATGTGCTGAGTTATCATGTTGATATGGTGACTGCTGTTTCTGTTTCCAGTGAAGATGTAAAAGTGACTTTCTGTTTCTGTTTGTTTGTGTTTGCTGACGTCATGATGACAATGTTTTTATTAATAAACTGAAAGTTTCCAGCTTCCTGTCACCTTCAGAGAAACACAAAGAAAGCACAGTTCTACAGAAAGCTGAGGCGATATTAATGTTCATGTTTTATTTTCTGGTGATGATAATAATTATTATTTTGTCATTTCAGGTGAACGTCCTGTGATCTGATCCAGGTGACAGTCGGCAGCCACAGTAACCAGGATCAATCTGTGCTCGAGCATGTTCTCCCCGTGTCAGCGTGGGTTTCCTCCAGGTGCTCCGACATGTTCTTCCCGTGTCAGTGTGGGTTTCCTCCAGGTGCTCCCACATGTTCTCCCTGTGTCAGCGTGGGTTTCCTCCAGGTGCTCCGACATGTTCTCCCCGTGTCAGCGTGAGTTTCCTCCAGGTGCTCCGACATGTTCTCCCCGTGTCAGCGTGGGTTTTCTCCAGGTGCTCCGATATGTTCTCCCCGTGTCAGCGTGGGTTTCCTCCAGGTGCTCTGACATGTTCTCCCCGTGTCAGCGTGGGTTTCCTCCAGGTGCTCTGACATGTTCTCCCCGTGTCAGCGTGGGTTTCCTCCAGGTGCTCTGACATGTTCTCCCTGTGTCAGCGTGGGTTTCCTCCAGGTGCTCTGACATGTTCTCCCTGTGTCAGCGTGGGTTTCCTCCAGGTGCTCTGACATGTTCTCCCTGTGTCAGCGTGGGTTTCCTCCAGGTGCTCTGACATGTTCTCCCTGTGTCAGCGTGGGTTTCCTCCAGGTGCTCTGACATGTTCTCCCTGTGTCAGCGTGGGTTTCCTCCAGGTGCTCTGACATGTTCTCCCTGTGTCAGCGTGGGTTTCCTCCAGGTGCTCTGACATGTTCTCCCTGTGTCAGCGTGGGTTTCCTCCAGGTGCTCTGACATGTTCTCCCTGTGTCAGCGTGGGTTTCCTCCAGGTGCTCTGACATGTTCTCCCTGTGTCAGCGTGGGTTTCCTCCAGGTGCTCTGACATGTTCTCCCTGTGTCAGCGTGGGTTTCCTCCAGGTGCTCTGACATGTTCTCCCTGTGTCAGCGTGGGTTTCCTCCAGGTGCTCTGACATGTTCTCCCTGTGTCAGCGTGGGTTTCCTCCAGGTGCTCTGACATGTTCTCCCTGTGTCAGCGTGGGTTTCCTCCAGGTGCTCTGACATGTTCTCCCTGTGTCAGCGTGGGTTTCCTCCAGGTGCTCTGACATGTTCTCCCTGTGTCAGCGTGGGTTTCCTCCAGGTGCTCTGACATGTTCTCCCTGTGTCAGCGTGGGTTTCCTCCAGGTGCTCTGACATGTTCTCCCTGTGTCAGCGTGGGTTTCCTCCAGGTGCTCTGACATGTTCTCCCTGTGTCAGCGTGGGTTTCCTCCAGGTGCTCTGACATGTTCTCCCTGTGTCAGCGTGGGTTTCCTCCAGGTGCTCTGACATGTTCTCCCTGTGTCAGCGTGGGTTTCCTCCAGGTGCTCTGACATGTTCTCCCTGTGTCAGCGTGGGTTTCCTCCAGGTGCTCTGACATGTTCTCCCTGTGTCAGCGTGGGTTTCCTCCAGGTGCTCTGACATGTTCTCCCTGTGTCAGCGTGGGTTTCCTCCAGGTGCTCTGACATGTTCTCCCTGTGTCAGCGTGGGTTTCCTCCAGGTGCTCTGACATGTTCTCCCTGTGTCAGCGTGGGTTTCCTCCAGGTGCTCTGACATGTTCTCCCTGTGTCAGCGTGGGTTTCCTCCAGGTGCTCTGACATGTTCTCCCTGTGTCAGCGTGGGTTTCCTCCAGGTGCTCTGACATGTTCTCCCTGTGTCAGCGTGGGTTTCCTCCAGGTGCTCTGACATGTTCTCCCTGTGTCAGCGTGGGTTTCCTCCAGGTGCTCTGACATGTTCTCCCTGTGTCAGCGTGGGTTTCCTCCAGGTGCTCTGACATGTTCTCCCTGTGTCAGCGTGGGTTTCCTCCAGGTGCTCTGACATGTTCTCCCTGTGTCAGCGTGGGTTTCCTCCAGGTGCTCTGACATGTTCTCCCTGTGTCAGCGTGGGTTTCCTCCAGGTGCTCTGACATGTTCTCCCTGTGTCAGCGTGGGTTTCCTCCAGGTGCTCTGACATGTTCTCCCTGTGTCAGCGTGGGTTTCCTCCAGGTGCTCTGACATGTTCTCCCTGTGTCAGCGTGGGTTTCCTCCAGGTGCTCTGACATGTTCTCCCTGTGTCAGCGTGGGTTTCCTCCAGGTGCTCTGACATGTTCTCCCTGTGTCAGCGTGGGTTTCCTCCAGGTGCTCTGACATGTTCTCCCTGTGTCAGCGTGGGTTTCCTCCAGGTGCTCTGACATGTTCTCCCTGTGTCAGCGTGGGTTTCCTCCAGGTGCTCTGACATGTTCTCCCTGTGTCAGCGTGGGTTTCCTCCAGGTGCTCTGACATGTTCTCCCTGTGTCAGCGTGGGTTTCCTCCAGGTGCTCTGACATGTTCTCCCTGTGTCAGCGTGGGTTTCCTCCAGGTGCTCTGACATGTTCTCCCTGTGTCAGCGTGGGTTTCCTCCAGGTGCTCTGACATGTTCTCCCTGTGTCAGCGTGGGTTTCCTCCAGGTGCTCTGACATGTTCTCCCTGTGTCAGCGTGGGTTTCCTCCAGGTGCTCTGACATGTTCTCCCTGTGTCAGCGTGGGTTTCCTCCAGGTGCTCTGACATGTTCTCCCTGTGTCAGCGTGGGTTTCCTCCAGGTGCTCTGACATGTTCTCCCTGTGTCAGCGTGGGTTTCCTCCAGGTGCTCTGACATGTTCTCCCTGTGTCAGCGTGGGTTTCCTCCAGGTGCTCTGACATGTTCTCCCTGTGTCAGCGTGGGTTTCCTCCAGGTGCTCTGACATGTTCTCCCTGTGTCAGCGTGGGTTTCCTCCAGGTGCTCTGACATGTTCTCCCTGTGTCAGCGTGGGTTTCCTCCAGGTGCTCTGACATGTTCTCCCTGTGTCAGCGTGGGTTTCCTCCAGGTGCTCTGACATGTTCTCCCTGTGTCAGCGTGGGTTTCCTCCAGGTGCTCTGACATGTTCTCCCTGTGTCAGCGTGGGTTTCCTCCAGGTGCTCTGACATGTTCTCCCTGTGTCAGCGTGGGTTTCCTCCAGGTGCTCTGACATGTTCTCCCTGTGTCAGCGTGGGTTTCCTCCAGGTGCTCTGACATGTTCTCCCTGTGTCAGCGTGGGTTTCCTCCAGGTGCTCTGACATGTTCTCCCTGTGTCAGCGTGGGTTTCCTCCAGGTGCTCTGACATGTTCTCCCTGTGTCAGCGTGGGTTTCCTCCAGGTGCTCTGACATGTTCTCCCTGTGTCAGCGTGGGTTTCCTCCAGGTGCTCTGACATGTTCTCCCTGTGTCAGCGTGGGTTTCCTCCAGGTGCTCTGACATGTTCTCCCTGTGTCAGCGTGGGTTTCCTCCAGGTGCTCTGACATGTTCTCCCTGTGTCAGCGTGGGTTTCCTCCAGGTGCTCTGACATGTTCTCCCTGTGTCAGCGTGGGTTTCCTCCAGGTGCTCTGACATGTTCTCCCTGTGTCAGCGTGGGTTTCCTCCAGGTGCTCTGACATGTTCTCCCTGTGTCAGCGTGGGTTTCCTCCAGGTGCTCTGACATGTTCTCCCTGTGTCAGCGTGGGTTTCCTCCAGGTGCTCTGACATGTTCTCCCTGTGTCAGCGTGGGTTTCCTC